ATGAGACAATACCATTGTTTGATGGAATTGCTCCAATGGTAGAAGTAGGCAACAATGATATACATCATCCAGTGGACAACTTGCATCATGATCACTTCATTGATGATATTGAAGATGATGAGATTGAAGATATTAACGAGTTCATAGATGATGAGTAATTATATGATTCAGAATCTAGTTATGATTAACAACTTCATTTTGAAAGGTGATGAATATATTTTAAAAGGTTTTAGTTTCAATACATTACACATAATTACTCATTTTTTAGTGTTAAAATAAGTAATAGATAAAAAGGGTTTCTAATTGGTACTAGTATTGCCTTATTTGATTACTTGTGGTTCTTTATGACTTTAATTTCCCATATAAATGATCACTTTTTTTTTTTGTTTTAGATCATTGTATTCCTTTATGTAGGTAATCATTATGCCAACTACTCGAGGAAAAAGGCGTCGGGTTAATCAAGCCAATAATCCCCATCAGCTCACTCAAATTGCTTCGAATCCTCCACCACAACATCCTTCTCATCACTCACCTTGTAAACTTTTAGAATAACATTTTAATTATTAACTCTATATTTATTTAAATGCAATGGATAAAAACTAACTTTTCTTTACTATGTTTGTATAGGTGATGGATCTACTAGTTCATTAGCTAATGGTGGTGGTACATCAGCTAGTGGTGGATAATCATCTGATACCACCCCATTGATTAATGGTGGTGAATCAAATACTATCCCAACATCTGATAATCAACAACCTACTATGGTGCCTTCAAGTGAATATTCTAATGTAAAAGTTGATAGGAGGTGTAGACACCCAATTTCGTCCGGGGGGCACACAAACAAGAAAATGGACCTACATCATGAAGGAAAGGAGCTCCCGAAGCAGGCAAATAACAAGACAGGATATCAGACGACCTAAAGGTAAAAAAAAAAAGGTTGTTTTAGTAGCCCGGAACGGGCTGTTCCAGAATCGGAACGGGCCGTTCCAAACCTCGGAACGGGCCGTTCCAACGTGGCTAAAACACCTAAAAATGCAATACCGGAACGGGCCGTTCCAATACCAGAACGGGTCGTTCCAATACCGAAACGGGCCGTTCCAATACCTGAACGGGCCGTTCCAGGGGGCTGAATTTGAACATAACATTTAGATCCGGAACGGGCCGTTCCGGATCCAGAACGGGCCGTTCCGGATCCAGAACGGGCCGTTCCGGCCCACATCTGATGCCTATAAATTGAAGCCTCGGGCACAGTTCTCAAGGCGGCCAGAGAAATTTCGAATAAGACTCCTTTGAGCACGAAAATTCTCTATCTCTCTCCTTCTATTATATTTTTTGAGATTTGTGTCGCATCTCTATATTCTCTCTCCCTCCTATTGTATTTCTTGAGATTTGTGAGGCATACTGTAGTGTGAAAGGTTGCCATGAAGCACCTTCTCCATATTTGAAGATTCAATAGAGCTCGTTCAAGAGGTATTTCAGCTAATTTTCTTCTCTCTCTTTTATTTCTTATTTTTAATAAATATTATTTATAATAAACGTAATGTAGATATTTTAGGGTTAATCGCTTAATTTATATTTTAAGCATGTAAATAAATATTAATAAAGGGGATTTAATATTTAATTTATTAATTCTTATCATATTAACTTCATCATAGGGTACCGATTGAGGGCGTTGTAGGGTGTTAATACCTTCCCTATACGTAATCGACTCCCGAACCCAACTTTAATTTTAAAGATTATCTTTTAAAGGGTTTTCCAATGTTTTTCCCTTAAAATAAAATATTAGTGGCGTATTTTCAAAACCATTAATTAAGGATTAGTCTGGTGTCTGGGCATTCCTTAATTAATGAGACTTTTTAAAAGGATGTCTAAAGCATATGTCGCGAGATCGGAAATTTTCGGGTTGCGACAGGAGGCAAATAATATCCGTGGAGGAAGTTTTTAAACCGTAAGTAAAATTGAATTTATGAATGATTATGATTAATACTGTAAATTCATGTTATTGAATTATTTGTGGTTTGAATTGAATTATAGGAAGAGGTTTGCTCAACAATTTGTGACTCGTTATATCATTTCTGAGGTAATATCAAGGATGCCTTATGCTGCAGATTGTTGGAAAAGTTATTGCCCTGAAATGAAAGAAATGTTATTTAATGATTTTAAGGTAAATAATTATTCTAATAGTATTATATATTATATCATTATATCAACTATTTTTTTTACTTCAGATGTATTATTCCAGGAAAAATATTGTTTTGCATCAGAATATGATCGTGTGATGGCAAGGGAAGTTTGGGAAAAAACATGAATGGATAGGTATTCTGATCAATTGTGTAAAGACAAGGATAAAGTAATAAAAGCAGCAAACTCAAGGAATTATGAGAATTTAAGGGCTCACAAGCCTAGAGGGATGAAAGCTGAAATATGGAATGGGTTGATCGACATTTGGAAGACACCAGAATGGAAAAAGAAATTTGTTGCTGGAAGACAAATTAGGGCTGCCCAGCCTGAAGCAATGGTGCACACATGAGGGTCAAGAAGCTTCGGGTAACACAAAAAAACTATGGTAATCAAATCATATTGAATTTTTTCAATAATTAATAAGTGATGTTTGCTTTATTCCTATTCTAATATAATTGTTTGACTTAGATAATCCATGGTAAAAGTTACTTGTTTTTTAGATTTATTAATTTAGCTAATATTCGGAATTTGTTATAATTAAAATTGTGTTATTAATGATGTCTTAAAAAATTTTCTTTACCTATGGGATTTTTTTAAGTGTAGTTTTTTTTAATTCTTTAACAAGTTGTGAAATTTGAAGGTTTTGAAAATTAATGAGTTTCTTTTGTAAATTTCATTACTTACAATATGTACTGTAATCTTTTTACAGGAGGCACAACAGAATCGTCCTGTTTCTTATCGTGAAGTGTATAACAAAGTTCACAAAAAAATGATGGTGAATTTGTCTCAAGCAGGGCAAAGAAATTTATTGTATGTTATTTTATATTTTAAGATTGATTACGTACTTTTTTAACCTCTTACTATTTCACTTATTTATTTTTGTTTATTATTTGTAGGAAACATATGAAGAATCAATGACACAAAAATATGGAGAAGACACTTCATCTCATCCTGTAATTAATTCTGATCTTTGGTTAAAAGTTGCAGGTGACAACAAGAAGAAAAGAGTTCATGGCATGGAGCATAGCTTGGATCTTGGAACTAGTAGCTCTACACAAGCTTCATCTCCAGAGGTTGCAGGTTGTTGAGCTTAGGGGAGCCTGAACTTGATGAGGTCAAGATTATCTCTGAAGCTTAAAAAAGTTTTGATGATCACAAAATATGTGTCAAAGATAACAACAAACAACAACAACTTAGAAGACAAAAACAAAGTCCAAGAAAGTGTTATGTAATAGGAATTAATGTATAAATTGTTTTGAATGATTTAAAAGGGTATAAGTTCACTAAAAAAGTAAATTTGAAAAAAATCCAATCTATTCTAGCTTTGCATTTTCTTTTGCATTCTTGCATTCTTTGTGTGTATCGATCCATCACTTTTTGGAGGAATCAAGATGCCGAAGCACTCGTAAAAAAGATCAACAGCTAGACAGTGCCTTAAGAGCCAAGATCGTGTCAAAAAGCATAGCCCCAACAAGGGCATTCCATACAAGTGGTTTCATATAGCCACCAAGAAAAGGAAGACACATCAACAGCAAGACGGGATAGAACCAGAATCGACCGAATAAGCAAGCCCATAAGCATGAAGAGGCCATCGCGCCCTACTCCTCAACTGAATGAAGGATGATCCAAGAGAATGTCAAGACCAGGAATGACTTCCTAACCAAAGTCAGGAGTGGCTTCCAAAATAATACTCATCAATAAAGATTTAGAAAATAACATCATCATGGAATAGATACCTCCACCAATGATGACAATAAAGAGAAAAAGCAACAACATGAGAAAAAGGCAAGCTTCGTAAATATTGAAAAAGCTGAAGCATTTAGAAAAATAGCAAAAAAATGCAAGCTTCAAACATGAAAGAGCTGAAGCTAAACAAAAAATGAAATTTAGAAGAAAAAAAACCCTATCACAAACAGCGCCTGGAGAGGCATCACAATACTCACTGTGGCAGGGGGCAACATCGGAATCCATGTCATTCATCTATTTCTTTGCCCACCAACACAGGGGCACATCAAGCATCTCCTGTCCATCCTCTTTGGGGGCAATTTTTCATCCAACAACACTAATCAAAAGACATCAAGTACAAGCTTGGAAAGGATTGCTAGATCCCCAAAACTAGTACAAGATTGAAAAGGGTTGCTAGATCCCAAAAACTAGTACAAGATTGGTAAATGTTGCTAGATCCTCAAAACTAGTACAAGATCGGAAAGGGTTGCTAGATCCTCAAAACTAGTAAAAGATCGGAAAGGGTTGCTAGATCCCCAAAACTAGTACAAGATCGGTAAGGGTTGCTAGATCCCTAAAACTAGTACAAGATCGGTAAGGGTTGCTAGATCCCCAAAACTAGTACAAGATCAGAAAAGGTTGCTAGATCCTCAAAACTAGTACAAGATCGGAAAGGGTTGCTAGATCCCCAAAACTAGTACAAGATCGGTAAGGGTTGCTAGATCCCTAAAACTAGTACAAGATCGG